ATGCAGGATGTAAGAATTGGAAAATTACTTGCTGAGAACATGTATGTTGATGTGCTTGATTGAACCAGTACACAGTGTATTTTGGATGGAAAATTTATTGGTGGGTTGTGATGGTATATAGTGAATTAAGGTAGAAAATAAAAACTAAAAAAAATATTTATTTATATCTGACCAGAGAGGAAGAGAGAGAGAAAGAGAGAGGGAAAGTGAGAAAGCAAGCCACCAGGTCTGGGACTCAAACTGCGGTCGACTACATGGCAGTCCAGTGACATAGCCATTACGTCAACTGCTGGTCCCTATTCTCTTTTTAAAAAATTAATTAATTAATATTTTACCAGAGAGGAACAGAGTGGGAGAGAAAGAGAGAGAGAAAGTGAGAGATCAAGGTGCCAGGTCTGGGGCTTGAACCACAGTTGACCATGTGGGAGTCTAGCGCCCGTGACCACCACACCACCTGCCAGCCCCAGACATTTATTCTCTTACAGTTCTGGAGAGCAAAAGTCCGAGATCAGTATCACTGGGCCAAAATCAGGTGTTGGCATGCTCTCTCCACTGTAGGGAATTCCTTGCCATTCCTTGCCATGTCCAGCTGCTGGTGTGTAAGCATTTCTTGGCTTGTGGCCGTGTCACTCCACTCTCTACCTCTGTGGTCACATTGCCTTCTCCTCCTCTGCGTGTCTGTCTGCCTCTGAGAATGACACTTGCCATGGCATTTAGGGCCTACCCTGGTAATGAATAATTTCCCCACCTCAAAATTCTTGATCTAATCACATCTACAAAGGCTCTTTTTTTTTTTTTGAGAGGTTTTCGCTATAGGGTGCGTGCGTTCGCCAGACAGACAGAGAGACAGAGAGACAGAAAGCGAGAAATCACCCCCCAGGGGGGATGGTCACGCCGCAATCCCTTCTCCTCCATTCTCCTCTCGGGATCTTGGGCACGCACACACACGCACCCGGCGTGAGTTCTAAGCCACCAGGTCCAGGACGCAAACCGCGGTCGACTACATGGGAATCCAGCGACATAGCCATTACGCTAACTGCTGGTTCCCTACAAAGGCTTTTTTTAAAAAAGGTTTTTGCCATGGCAGCATGTGTGCACTCTCAGAGAGAGACAGAGGGAAAGTGAGAAATCACCCCCTAGGGAGGGCAGCCATGCCACAGTTCCTTCTCCTTCATTCTCCTCCCAGGATTCTGTGCACTCATGTGCACACTCCTGGCATGATTTTCAAGCCTCTGGGTCCAGAACTAGATCCATGGTCTTAATGTGGGAATCTAGTGTCTTAACTGCCAAGCTGCCTGTTGGCCCCTACTCTTTTTTTCTTTTTTTTTTTTTTTAAACTAGGTGTCATTTATAGATTCTGGGATTTAGAACATGGATACCTTTTGAGGAGTCTTTCTTCAGCCTACCACATGAAATGACATAAAACCTTTCTTAGAGCACTTGCCTCCCCTCAGGTCAAATGTCCTTCAGAACTGGCCGGAATTGAGTTGCTGTGAATCACGTCCTCACCTTTCTCCCTCTCGATGTGCCCTCTGCTCTGCTCTAGGTCTGAGAATCTAGTACATACCAGTTGGGACCCCCTTGACTCCTGCCTTCCCATTGGGTTTGGCCAATGGGAGATGTGAACAGAAAAACTGGAGGAAGGGGAAGAGAGCAGTGGGGCATTTACTCTCCCGTCTACTCCCCTGCCGAGTGTAGGGTGGCAGTAGCACTGTTCAGACTCTCGGTGCATTGGTGTCTGTCACTGTCAGATTGACAACTGCTCCCTTCTGTGTCCTTTCATGATTGGAAATGCTACTAGCTTCTGGCTGAAGCTGGGTCTGGACTCCTTTGCTTTGGTGGCTTCCTTTAACCATGTCCCCTACCTGTCCATTGTCACTTAAGTCAATCCCTTTCCCCATTTGAATGAGACATTGGCTCCCTGATGTCTATCTGAAATCTGAAATTTGACATTTCCTACCTCTAACCAATTGCTATGGCTGCTGTAAGAAATTACCACAGATGCAGTGGCTTAAAACAATGCAAATTTTCCATCAAGGGATGAACGGATAAGCAAAATGTAGTATATACATGCAATAAAATATTATCCAGCCATAAAAAAAAAGAGAAAATTCTGACATATGCTACATCCTAAAGGATGTTGAGGACGTTCCACTAAATGAAATAACAAAAGAGAAAGATGGTAGGAGTCCACGCTACAAGGAATTTAGAGTAGCAAAACTCAGAGGGAGAAAGCAGAATCACGAATGCCAGGGGCTGGGGAGAGGGAGAACGGGGAGTACTTTTATAGGTACAGAGATTCCATTTTATAAGATGAAGAGAGTTCTGGAGATTGACTTCACGATGAAGTGGGTGTGCTTAATGCCATTGAACTACACACTTAAAAATGGATAAGATGGTAGATTTTCCACATTTAGAAGAAATTTGAAGGCCAACCCTGTGGCTTAGTGGTTAAGGGAGCTGGATATCACATGATCCACCATGGTTTGAATCCTGGCCCTTGCTCTACTGGCTTGAAAAACATGCTAGGTGTGAGTGTGTGCATGCCCCAAACCCTGGCCAATTGGAGAGATGGGGGAGAAGGCATTGTGGCGTGACTATGCCCCATTAGGGGAGGCTTTCTCCCTCTCTCCCTCTCCCTCTTCCTCTCTCTCTCCCTCTCCTTCTCTTGTTGTCTTTCTTTGATGAACACACAAGCCCTCTGGCAATTAAACAACATTTAATTATCTAATCAAAAAGAACAAAATAAAAACCTCACAAATTTATACTCCTATAGTTCTCACTCTCTCTCTCTCTCTCTCTTTTTTTTTTTTTTTTTTGCTCTAGTGGACGTGCGAGTGAGAGGGAAAGTGAGAAATCCCCCCCCCCCAGGGGGATGGCCATGCTGTAATCCCTTCTCCTCCATTCTCCTCTCGGGATCTTGAGCACACACGCGCATGTGCCCGGCGTGAGTTTAAGCCACCAGGACACAAACCACGGTTGACTACATGGAATCCAGCGACATAGCTATTACGCTAGCTGCTGGTCCTGATACTCCTATAGTTCTAAAGGTCAGAAAACGGAAATTGAGATGTCTCCAAAGTCAGGTCCATCTGGAAGCTTTGGGGAAAAGTCTATTTCCTTGCCGGTTTCTGTTTCTAGAATCTTCTTGCATTCTGCAGCTCCTTCTACTTTCCTCACCTCCCTCTACCTGCTGCTTCTGTGAGCCCCCACTCCCACTCCTGACTCTGACTCTCCCACCCCAGTCTTATGACCTTGAGACTACACAGGGTCTACCAGGACAGCCCAGGACATTCGCCCTGCCCCAAACCATCAACTGAACCCCACCTGCCAAGGCTCCTTTCACATCGAGGTCACATGTTCCCAGGTGTCAAGGGTTAGGGACATCTTTGGGGCCACATCTTGTTGGCACACATTTATCACAAAGGGAGGCACACACTGTAGTGCTGGCTCACGGCTTTGTCACTAAAGCCCATCGCAGCCATTTTCGTGTCATGCTATTTTCTAGTGGCATCTTGAAGTACCGTTTGTACTCCTTTCCTCCTCTCCTAAGACACAGTAGTTATTAAAGCTGCCACGGGTGACTTTCTACTCAATGCATTAATGAGGAAGCACATAAATTACTATTGCACAGTGTAAAAAATATTTTGATAACTGCATTACAATACAAATTGGGTTCCTTTGTCCTGTGTGTTTCCTTTCATTCTGAGAAGGATCTGTAGGCTTTGTGAGTCGGCCGTCAGGTCCAATGTGTGAACATGGTTAGGAGCGCCTGCTTCTGCCCTGGGGGTGGGGAGCAACATCTGTAAGATACCAGGGCCCCTGGAGGGCTGGCTGGAGTCATCCTCCTGCCGGGAGCTTTCACCTGTGGACTAAGAAGTGGGAGATAATTACACTCTATCACTCTATGTTTCCTACTTTTTTTTTTTTTTGGAGAGGTTTTTGCTATAGGGTGTATGTGCTCACCAGGAAGACAGAGAGAGACAGAGAGACAGAAAGTGAGAAATCAACCCCCGGGGTGATGGCCACGCCGTAGTTCCTTCTCCTCCAGTCTCCTCTTGGGATCTTGGGCACGCACGCACATGTGCCTAGCATCCAGGACTTGAACCATGGTCGGCTACATGAGAGTCCAGTGATATAGCCATTATGCCAACTGCTGGTCCCCTATTTGTGTGTTTTGAGAGGGAGAGAGAGAGGAAAAGAGAGAGATTTCAGCATGACTATCCCCTCAAGGGGTGCTTTCTCATTCTCTTTCAATTTGGGCCAGGACTATGCTGTGATTCTAATTAACTGGAAGACCAGGGCAGGAGAACCACAGCATAGCAAGACACTGTCAAAAATAGCTCTCTTGAGGGACCAACAGTTAGCATAATGGCTATGTCGCTGGACTCCCACGTAGTCGACCGCAGTTCGCGTCCCGGACCCGGTGGCTTAAAACTCACGACGGGTGTGTGCGCGTGTGTGCCCAAGATCCTGAGAGGAGAATGAAGGAGAAGGGATTGCGGCATGGCCATCCCCCCTGGGGGGTGATTTCTCACTTTCTATCTCTCTGTCTCTCTCTGTCTTTCTGGCGAGTGCACACGCCCTATAGCAAAAACCTCTCCAAAAAAAAAAGGAATTGAACATGGTCTTCTCATGTGGCCCCAGCCACCATGCTGTGGGGCCTTCCCACACACTGATTTTAAAAAATCCATTGTATTTGGGGGTCCTTCGGTTACTGTAGCTCAGCCTTTAGACATGGCCTACTCAGCATGGATTCTCTGACTCCAGTTGTCCTCATGGCCAGGGCCATGTCCAACATAGGTGGAGCTGTGGAGGAACATTTTAAGAAGTATGATTGAAAAATCTTTTATTTTGCAGATTTTACAGAAATACATAGCCATGTGCACACGTCGATAAGGTTGTGCCTCAGACCGGAGCAGGGCTGGTGCCCAGGTGAGGCCTGGAAGCTGAAATTGTGTACTGGATACACTGCTGCTCTGCTCAGATCCCCTCTGGGGACCTCATACTCATCCTCAGCAATTGGGAAGAGGCTGCTCATGGCTCCTGGTGCACCCCTAGTGGGAAAGGAAGGGTGGCCCCAGGGAACTGCCTTGTCTCCAACTTAGTCCCCTTCCGTGGGACTGCCCATGGCCAGTGGATGGAGACAAAGCTAGAGAGCCTGAGTGCCCAGCTGCAGTCAGGAGTGGCTCTGCAGAGCCTCCCCAGCTCAGAACTCACTAGACAACAGGCGACATCCCTGCAGTAGCTGCACTCAGGTCCCCTGGCAGCCCACAGTCATTCCGTCCTCTTGTTCTTATGGAAGTATCTCCTGAGTGTTTCCCCAACACACTTCCTGCCTGCAGTTCTGTCTCCAGGGAACTGAATTTCAGACCATTTGCCTCAGAAATGATCCCAGAGCAGATCCTGCAGTAGTTTTTGGGATGGTGGCAATGGTTGGTGGCAATGGGGCCCCCATCCGCGGTGGCCAGTGGAGTGTGGAGGGCCTGGCCAGGCTCAGTGGGGCTGGAGTTAGGGTGTTTGCCTCGATGAGTAGGCGAGACACTGTGAGCATCTGGACTGGAGCAATGTCCCTGACACTGGAAGGACATGAGGGAAATGAAACTAGGGCCACTGGATCGAATGGCTCTTACTGAGGCCACTGAGTTCACGAGGCCCAGGTGATCAACTGCCAATTCAAGACAGAGTGTGAAGCCAGAGTCTGTCCTGGTAGCAGATGATGCTGAAGACAGACCTAGGAAATCTTCCTAAGAGCTGTGGAACTTCATGAAATTCCCAGCCCCTCAAGTCTCCTTTGCCAAGATGAAACCCACAGACTCGTGATGGAGACATCTGAGTGGTTGTATGGGAACCTTATATTTCAGATCCCCCGGCACCCACAGAGCCTGCAGTGGTGACCCTTTATCCATTGTTAGGAGATACACAGGCCACTCCAGCTTGAAAATGACACAACATCAAGCGAGACAGATGCTCACAAAACATCGTGTTCCCTGGAGCTGTGTTAGCAAATGACCATGCACCAGGAGGCCTAAACCACAGATGTGTACCCTCTCACGGTTCAGGAGGCAGAAGTCCAAACTCAAAATCACCAGGCTGACCAAGGTGTCAGCAGGACCATAGTCCTGCTGGGCAGAATTTCTTCATTGCCTCTTCCAGCTGTTGGAGGTTGCCTGCATTCCTTGGCTTATGGCCACACTGTTCAGTCTTCAAGTATCTCTTGGCTTACTCTTTTTTGTTTTTCTTTAAAGAATTATTTTTATTTATTTATTTTATGATTATTCCTAAATTTGATATAAGGTACGTGCACGCACGAGAGAGAGAGAACAAGCCACCAGGTCCAGGACTCGAACTGTGGTTGGTCATGTGAGTACCTTAACCACATGCCACCTTCTGGTCCCTTGGCTCAATCTTCACATCACATTCTCCTTTTGCCTTGCCTACTTCTTTTCTTTTCTTTTTTAGAATTATTTTATTTAACTATTTATTTGTTTTAACTTGTGGGGGGTGGGGAGGGAGAGAGAGAGAGAAAGAGGAAATGAGAAAGTAAGCTGCCAGATCTGGGCCTTGAACCATGGTTGGCTATAGGGGAGTCCAGTGCCCTTAACCACCATGCCACCTGCCGGTCCAAGCCTTGCCTATTTTTTTTTCTTTTCCCACAAGATGCTCTAACTGTTTGGGGTAAGTTTCCACAATAGCCTCACTTTGCATCTCTGAGACGCCTCCTGGCCTGGCTCAGCCTTGGCCGAGGCCCAGGTCATGCTCTGATTACGGATGGCTCACGTCTCTGTGAGCCACACAGGTCAGTGTTGTCATCATCCCACACCAGCGTGTCCTGGATGTAGTCTCCCAGTTCTGACTGCGCCTCAGCAGGCGTCTAACAGGAGCCTCCAGACGCCATCGGTGTTTCTTTTCATTCCTGCATCTGCGTCTGGTGCAGCATTTCATCCCTTAGAACCCTGACAGCTATTCCAAAGTGTCAGAGGCAGACGCAGAGCAAAGCTGGAGCCTGCCACGCCCCATGCTCTCCTCTGGCCCTTTCCAGGCAGATGAACGCTGCGGTCAGTCCAGGCAGCTGGCTTCTCTATGTGCAGCTCCCTCCATCTGGACTGTTTCCACTCAGGAAAAGGATTGCTTGCATCAAAACATTGCGTCGCCCTCAAGTTCACCTGTCCCCTTTTCATGGGTTCAGGGATGTATCTGAATTTACAGGTGTGAAGTGGAAAGGCTCTGACATCGACATTCTGGGAATAATTGATTGAACCTGAAACTTAAACATTTTTCTTGATGGCCTGACCTTCCCAGTGACAGCAGAGACATTTTCTTTTCATGCTTTGTCAAGCTTGTTCTTCATCTATTTGTCCAGAAACATTCTTGATCTTGATTTAATAATTGAAAATCATGCAATGTATTTGTCAGTCTCTGAACCCCGTATTTACATTAATTCTCACCATGAAATTGCATTGTACAAGTAATCTAACACCATAAATTCGGTGATTATGGGGGTATTTTGCCAATCAAGGGCTCTTTCTTACCAGGTTGCTGACGTAATTCACCCAGTTACTCATCAGTGTGGATGTCAGCTGCTGTCATCAAAATTTAGGTGCTTTGTGCATGGCGGTGAAGAGACTGAAATCCTCGGAGGATTCTGAGGGAAGCCTCATTGGAAAGACTAGAAATTCTCCTCCTTTTAGGAAGTCAGCCTCCCTAAGGAAGGGCCAACCTTTGTCCTGGGAGCTTCAATCCTTTGTAGGTAACTTGCTGTTTTTCTCTTGCTAATCTTAGTATCTTGTCTTTGTCTGCAGTTTTGGTCAATCTGGCTATAATGTGTCTTGGAGAAGATCTTCTTGGGTTGATTCTATTTGGGGTCCTTTGTATTTCCTGGGACTGGATCTTCGAATGCCTGAGCCTTGCCTATTTTTAATGAAGATATATGTGATTGCATTTAGGCCCCTCCTTGATCTTCCAGGATAATCTTCTCATCTCACATCATTAATTTAACAACATCTGCAAAGACCCCTTCCTAAGAAGATAATAAATACTAATTCCAGTGTGTAGGACATGAATATATTGGGGGGAGGGGTATCTTCATCCCACAGTGTTGGTTCCCCTCAGGGGCCAAATATCTACAAAATGGAGCTGGTTATGTGCTGGGTATTTCAACCTTAGTGAGAAGTTTTAGGAAGTGTTCTGTTGGGATTTGGCCCTGAGGGTTTGCAGTCAAAGGGGATCAAAAGTCTTACCATTCAGGGAACCAGCAGTTAGCGTAATGGCTATGTCGCTGGACTCCCACGTAGTCGACTGCGGTTCGTGTCCTGGACCCGATGGCTTAAAACTCACACCGGGCGCGTGTGCGTGCGTGCCCAAGATCCCGAGAGGAGAATGGAGGAGAGGGGATTGCGGCGTGACCATCCCCCCTGGGGGGTGATTTCTCGCTTTCTGTCTCTATGTCTCTCTCTGTCTGTCTGGCGAGCGCACATGCCCTATAGCGAATAATAAAAAAAGAAACCTCTCCAAAAAAAAAAAAAGTCTTACCGTTCATGTTAATTTTTGTTGTCTGTTTGTTTTTGAATTTTGTATATTATAGCATTTAAGTTTATGAACTCAGAGATGCCTGGAATGACTTTTTTTTTTTTAAAAACTCCTGACAGCTGTGTGACAATGGGGAGTGATTAGCTATCTGCTTCTTGGTTTCCCTGGCATTACGATGTGTGCAGATAACAGCATCTACATTGTGGGTCTACGGTATGACTCCAAGGAGTTCTCGTCTGGCGGCCCTTCAAATCTGACCACATCCACTGTGATTTCTCACTGCTCATTTGCTTTTGTTTTACAGCAGAGTGGCTCTCCTTACTCGGTGACCATGTTTCAGATATATTTGGGTCCGTATAGGCAGTGAAAAGAAAATACAGCAAGCGCTTTTGTGTTGAGTTTGTGTTGCCTTTTTTTTTTTTTTTTGGAGAGGTTTTTGTTATAGGGCACGTGCGCTCGCCAGACACAGAGAGAGAGAGAGACAGAGAGACAGAAAGCAAGAAATCACCCCCCAGGGGGGATGGCCACGCCGCAATCCCTTCTTCTCCATTCTCCTCTCGGGATCATGGGCACACAAGCACACGCGCCCAGCGTGAGTTTAAGCCACTGGTTCTGGGACTCGAACTGCGGTCGACTACATGGGAGTCCAGCAACATAGCCATTATGCTAACTGCTGGTTCCTGAGCTGGACTTTTCTCTTGCATGTAGGGGCAGGAAGAAACCATGCTGTGGCATTTGATTCAGGACCATGGACAGTAACACCTCCGTGTCCCAGAATAGAGTGCCTCTGGGGGTCTTAGGTTTCTTTAACTTCTCTATGCAATGAGAAGGCATGGACCTTGAGGAGACACTCACATTCAATCTCAGAGCCTACTGCCCACCTAGAGTCTACTGTGGGGACATAATACTCTAACGATCGTGTCTGTTGTGGTCAAGTTGCATTCTCCAGTGGTGACCACAGCAATAGCTCCATCCCACATGCTCTATTGCAATGTGACATTGACATACTATCACAGAGAGTGGAGGGTGATTTATTTGTTTATTTCTAAATCTTATTTATTTATTTATTTATTTTGAGAGAGTGACAGCACCACCAGTGAGATATTGATGTTGTAGTCCACACTCAGGCTCAGCCAGCCCCAGGTCATGGGTATGCCTGTGATCCACATTATGAGGGACATCTCTGGCCTTCAAGCATGAACCTTCCCACTTGCGATTGTCTTGCAGGGTGTCAAGTTTTACCACTATGCTACCATTCAGTCCTTGGAGTTTTATTTTTT